ACTTGCTCTCTCTGCAAAAGCCCAGCCCGGGCTGGATGGCGTGAGACAAGCAAGAAAAAAAAAAAACCTAGCAGATCCTTTTGCAAGGTTTTTTGCTGCCTGTTTATGAATTTTGATGGTTGGGGACGGACCATCCTGGCGCCCTCCATCCCATAATGCCCAGGAATGAAATACCGAAGCGGCGATGGATCCGAGCGATGAGGCAGGAGAAAGGCAGACAGCAAGCGGAGGCTGCTTTGTAAAACTTTATTTAGAAATATTCTTGATATATTCATTATATATATATATTTATATATACACACACATTACAACAAATGTGTTTTCTAAATAGCACATCCACAGTGGGTTGAGACTCAGGGTACCAGGTCTGGTTACTTCGTTTCTGCAGAAAAAATGCAGAAACCCAAGGGGAGGGGGGCAGAGAAAAGGAGAGGGCTGAAAAACCCCAAAATCGTCAGGTGGGGAATTCACTCACACGGTACGACATTGCCCCAAAGTGCTGTTTCCAACAGAAACCGGGGGGGGGGGGGAGGGGGGGGATGGTCCACACAGCGAGAGATGAAGCAGGCAGGGGGCGGATGCCACCATGGTTGTACCATTTTCCCAACTGTTCAGCTACCGAAAAAAAAAAAAAAAGATTAAAAAAAAATAAAACAAAAAAATTGTGGGGAATGAGGAATTTCTGAGTGTCGGTGACTTTTTCTTCCAATAGTTTAATAAAAAGGGTGTAAGACACGCACACCCCCCAACATACCCCAGGGTTGGTTTGAATGCTGAAAACCGAGAACGGCTTTACCTGTGTGACAGCATCCCTCTCCCTTCCCGGAGGCCCCCCACCTGCCATCCCCCGCCACCTGCCTCTCCTACCCCTGGCACCGGGAGCAGCCCAAACCTCTTCCTCAGCATCTCTCCATCACCCGCCGGTGCCTCTCCCCGGGCCCAGCCCTGCGGGTAAACCCCTTTAAAACAAAAAAAAACAAACCACGCACGGACGATCTGGACTCAGGAGGGAATTTTCCTCCTTTTCCCCAGTATAAGATGAGGGAGGTTGGTAGTTTCGGGGTCCGTGCTGGAAACCCTCGCTCTGGCCAGGACCCCATCCCAGGCAATTAATTCCACCAAACGTGCCAACCCATGCGCCAGCCTTCCACCTATTATTTACAAAGCGGCGTTAAACCCAAGCGGGGATGGAAATGACGGGGCTCTGAGTTAAGCCTGGAGGGGCTTGCAGACACCCGCCCAAATCCTCTGTGTGTCCTTGTACCTCAGCACCCTTGAAAAGGAATGAGCACGGTGGAAGGTGACCCCACTTTTTCCCTTCCAAAGGATGTTTGTGGGTGGTTTCTTTTTTTTTTTTTTTTTTTTTTACTGTAGCATGGTGGAGATTTTTGTGCCTTGACATCTCTGCAGAGGGAAAGGATGGGCTTGGGACAGTCACTCCGTCAAGCATCAGGTGGTGGATGAGAGATGGACCTGATGGAGCGGCGATGGCATGATGCGGTCCTCGGCTCCCAGCCGCCACAGCAGCAGCCTCCTGCTCCCCAGTCCCCGTTTCCCAAACGCCCTCCCAGGAGGAAGCAGGGATCAGAGGATCGGCTCAGTCACGGCCAGAAATTTTGCAGCAATTCAAGCGCTCGGGAATGGAGGCTCATCCCACCGCTGCTTTTAGTGCTTCCCCCCAAGATTTGGAGAGGCTGTGGGCTCCTACCAGCCTCAGGCAGGTGAGGACCCTCCTAACACCGGCTTGAATCTGGCGCCTGGAGTCCACCCTGCAGGCACTGGCACAGCTGAACCACCACCGTTTTCACACAATAAAACCAAAAAATTCAAAGCATACCATGAAAACCCTTTTATACCCTATGTACACCCACACTGGTGATGCATCATCGACTCCTTTTGCCTTTTTGTTGCTTTTTGAATTTAAAAATCCCCCAGTTCAAGGGGATGCTTCACTAGCAAATTTTATTTTTTCCCCCTAACAATTCTGAAATTCATCTTCCTTGAGAGAAGGTCTGGCCCTACAGAAACCACTGGGAAAACTCTAGGAGAACACAACAGGCTCGAAACTCACCCGCTGAGCGTTACCAGCAGAAAAAAAACAGGGATTGGGAGGGTGGCAGAAAACACCTATGTACCTTTTTGTTCAGTGGATACTGCATGACAGCGTTAAACAGAAGCAATCCCACGTCATAAATACAACAACCCCAAACGAGCCAAAGTTAGGCAGAAGGGAAAGGAAGAAAGGGGAAAAAAAAAAAAAGAAAGAAAAAAAGAGAGAAAAAGAAAAAGTCTTAATCCTTTTAATAGTTCTTTTGCTGAGGGCATTTTTTTCACCTCTTTAAAAAGATACAGTCAAAAGCTCTCGAACAACAGGAACATGTGGCCCCAGCTCCTGCTCAGACCACTTGTGTATGCCACAAGCTGGAGAAATGCTGCAGGGCTGGCAGGTTTCAGCAGTCTCCAGCGCCACATGGAGCTGGAAAGCGTCAGTGGCCTCCACCGACAGTGAAAGAGGAGTTTTGTGTCTCAACCAGGTGACTGTTTAAAAAGTAACAGTCGTCAAATGGTCTGAAAACCCTCTAAATGCTGGAGAGGTGCTGGTCGCATCTCCCGCCCCTCCGCAGAGTCACATCATGAGCAGTATGTACAATGAAGATGACTTCAAGGCTTTTCTTCTTTGTACGATCACGTACCTAAATGCCGAACGTCCATCTGGTTTGGTCTTGTCCTCAGCCAACGCGCCGGCTGCTCCATCCCAGGCTGGGGAGAACGAGGAGCCCGAACCCCCACGGAAAGACAGAGTCACGAATCCCACGGGCACAAATTCCAGCATCTGTACGCTTGGGTCTCGCCTCCCCCTCGGCGCTTCGGGAGCGATGCGGAAGGTCATCACCGCTGCGCGTTGCCTTCTACGGGGAGAATGGCATGGTGGAGGCTCCGCGTGTGCTTCGAATCTAGTGTTTCATGCTCTTCCGTGAAGCTGTCCGGGCTCGCCGCTCCGTCTAAAGAACTTCCACAGCTAGAGTTAGGAGACAACATGTCCTGCAGGAGGTCTTCCTGGACTATCCCAGAGTCTTTGTTCACTTTGCCCCTTTGGTTTCCTTCTTCCTCCTGGTCGTTGAGCAGCTTGGCCAGGAAGTTGATGTATTTCATCGCCAGGCGCAAAATCTCGTTCTTGCTCAGTTTTTTGTCAGGAGGGTGGGTGGGGATGAGCTTGCGAAGCTCTGCAAAGGCTCCGTTGACGTTCTGCTGCCTCCACCTCTCCCGGCTATTGGTAAAAATGCGACGAACCACTTTCGTATGAGGACCTGCAATTGCAACCATGCAGAATTAGGAGCCGGGCCTAACAGGTCATTTATTACTTTGCTGGACAGGTCAGCGTTTCCCAAATTAACCAATTTATTTTAGTGACATCAGCAAGGCAGCGAAACGGGAGTTCCCACCTTACTGGGAGCTAACTTGATGAACTGAGGTAGCCGTAATTTCTGTTCAATCCAGTGCGAAGGGAAAAATGGAGTTGTGTCTTTTCAGGTGTCTCCCAAGATGCCCAGATTTACCTCTCCAAGGAGGAAGGCTTAGGCCATGACACATGTGCAGAAGGCTGCTATAAAAATATCCTAAAAATAGGGTGTCTCAGCAACAAAAGTCCTATTAGGTCCTGAAAGGTTAGGTTGCAAGATGTTTTTATTTTCTATCACAAAAGTGTCTTAAGGACATACCATTGGGACAGGAGGAAATGAGCTTGAGCAGGGGCTTTGACAGCTCTAAGATCCAGAGATCTTCCCTGATGCAGGCGGGATCCAGACTTGGTAGAGACCATAGGATCGCCACCAGCCCTCTGGGTGGTTTGTATGAAATGAGGTGGCAGGATTCACCCCGTCGCAATGAGGACAGGTAGCAATATGACCCACAGACTGAAAGCAGTGTCCTTGCTGGAAGGGTGACAACGGGTGGAGGATGAAGCAGATTCGCAGCTGACCCGAGAACTGCCTGCTCTCTCTGCACATCATGGCAAAAACTCATCTGACAGTAACAGGAGAAGGGACTCCAAATTGCTAGAGATGTCCATTTGGCTCAGCTACATGTGAACTCCAGTTAAATCCCTGTAATTTTACAGCCCTATTCCTGATGGGGCATGTTACACAGGATGGACGCACAAAACGCATCAATTCTCCTTTCAGATCATCAGGGTAACTCTGACATTGTCTTGGCACTAAGACCCAAAAGCTTGTCTACCCAAAAGTACTGTGCTACAGGAGTAACACCACTGTAAAGCAGGACTGCAGGTCCTTGGGTCCACAGAAACCAGTTAATGTAAGGAGACACTACCACAAGATGCTTTTGTTATTACATCCTTTCCATCCTCACCTCCAGGAGACACCAACAGCGGAAGGACACAGCGATCTTGTGAAACTCTGGGACAATGACCACGGCAGAAACCCCCATAGGATGGGAAGCATCACATACAGTGAAAATCATCACAAAATGTGAAGCGAAGACTTGCAGGTAACACACCGGTGAGCTGTACGCCAAAGGACAGGCTGTGGATATTCCCATCCACACCACTCTGAGACACTTTCTTAACTACTCCCTCCTGGTGGGAGCAAGTCCCTGGCTGTGGTGAGCAGTTTAAGCCATAGCTCTGCCATCACCCAGTGAAACCAGCATCCCGAGGGACATCTAAACATCATTATTCTTATATACCAAAACCCTAGGCTGCTTTGACTGTGGCAGAGCAGCTGACCAGATGTCATCCTGGAGGCATCCTACAGGCTGCACCCTGACAGATCCCACCTTGCACAACACAAGAAGAGGAATCCCACGTTCCAGCTGATTAAATGCCATCACACTTTCCTCCCTTCAGGGGAAACTGAGCTCCTTCGGTCCGGCACGTCACACGCAATGCCCCCCACCACAGAGTTTGCGTGGGGACACACTCCCAAACCGGATTAAAGCTACCGGCTTCTGTAGCGTGCGAGCATCCATACAACTCACTTCTCACGGCATGCTCAGGAGCAGGGAGTCCCCCAAAATCACAATGAGCCCCTGGGATAAGCTGGGGGATGTCGGAATGAGAAACTCATCTCCAAACTCTAAGATCTCAGTCTGATGCTTTAATAAAGCCAATTTTCCACTCCCAGACAGCAAGTGAAATCCCTTCCTATGAATTACTGTGCAAGAGCTCATGGAAAGGGAAGGTTTCTTGGCCCTGATGTGGACAGCCCGCTGTGCCATGGGGTTGTGGGGAAGGTGGTGGGGACTAACAGGACCTCAACGACACTGGGCTGCCCAGCACTGCTAATAAGGCAGTGGGAGAACGTGCTGCAACCTGCTACAATAATACAACGGTTTCAACACTTAAATGCTCTTTCCAGAGCAAACAAAGCCACCAGCCTTGAAACTAGGAGGAGATGGAACTTAAAATCTTTTTACTCCCATAAGGGTATGAGAAAAAAACAAAACAAACCAAACAAACAAACAAAAAAAAACCCAACAAAACAAAACACTGGGATGCTATTATATTTTCCAAAAATCTCAAGAGAATTCCATCCTTCACAGGCTTCAAGCACACATCTCTATTCACTGAAAGTTGCCGACTAAGAGGCATCTATTCCTAAAATCTTAAAACCAGAAAAAAGACCTGTTCATCTTCACCCAGGGGCACCCAAATCAAGCTCCACTATATAACACAAATTCTGACACCAGTCAGATTTTTGATTCCTGCATCAACCGAATCAAACGTATTTTTTAGAAAGAGATCAGGTTTTGGCCAAAACATGTCAAGTGATGGAGAAATTTTAAATGCCCAATAGCTGTGTTATAACAGAAATTTATTTCTCATTAAGAAACTTGCCTCATAATTAATTCAAGCAGTCAGCTGAGAAGTTTCGCCTGGATTTTGTTCCAATTGATTGACTGATGCCTTTTTTTTTTTTTTTTTTAAATTGTAATTAGAGGTCTGAGGAAAACTAGCAAAAAGATGAGCTTCCAAAGTTACAGATTATCCGTGCAGGTGCTTTTTTACATTTTTATCTCCATTTATATCTATTTTTAAAGAAGATATTCATTGCACCACAGTTTCCCAAAAATGGATAAATAAACAGCTGCAAAAAAAACACCACTCACTTCCTTGTGGAAGAAACCAAACACCAAGCGCTCGGCACGACTCTCCTGTATTTCTGCACCTCCCGAGGGCTGAGGACCCACAGGAGTGATGCTCAGAGCGACGAGCAAAGCCCAACAGACAGCCCAGATGCCTCAGCATGGGATGCACGTCCCTACAAATTTCTCCTGTTTAGACAGCACCCTCTGGTACCTATTTTTCCTCCAAAAAAAAAAAATTTGAGCCTAATCTTGGAAATTCACATGAGCCAGAACCTGCAGGATCGGGCCCGATGTATACACCTGCGTTAAAGCACATATCCAAAAACTTAGTTACAACCAAATAGCTCTGTAATCCTTAATATCTAATTTAACGGCAAGTCGAAAGCTTTAGTCAGGCGCCGTGATTTGATGGACTTTCAACCACAGCCGCTAAGCCTCCCGACAGAAACCCGCACAAAAAGACCTTCTGGTGCCGGGGGCTGAGGCGACCCCTGTCCCAGGGGGCTGCGGTCTGAAGGGACCGGGCAGACGGAGGGGAGAGGGGGGCTGATAAACGCAGATAATGCCCTGAGCCCCTCATTTCGTACCCTTTTATTTTAGAGTGATGCGGATTACGATTTGATAAGATTTTAGCTCAGCCGGGTGGAAGGGAAGGGAAGAGAGCTAGAAAGAAGGAAAATTAATTGTCTGGCGATTGAAAGACGGCGTTTAGGATTGCTAAAGAGAAAACGCGTTTCAGCGGATCTCGTTTCTACGGGCTGTTAACTGCAGATAAACGCGGCAGCCACATCGTCCTCGCAGACACCTTTTTGCGTGGGCAGCGCCGCCTCCCGCAGCCCACGCCGGCTCCTGGGGAGGGGGCAGAGGCTCCCTGCCCTGCCTTCTCCCTCCCTCCCTGCCTTCCCTTGATACCATCCTGCCGGTCCCGCAGGCATCCCCGCGCCTGGCATCTCCTCTCGGACACCGGACTGTCACCCATCTCCGCTCGGACACCGGACTGTCACCCTCCCCGTCTTCTGCCAGGCGCTGCCGCAAGAACCGGCGCGGGGTAGTTCTCCACGGCAGCCTTTGGGTGAGGATATCTACTGCATCAAGGTGGGGACAAGGTGGCGAAGGGACCGGGCCACCACGCCATTGTGACCCTGCGGACCTTAGTTCAGCTCTTCGCTTCCAGGCAGGTTGAAGGCGGGTGGGATCTCTCCTCTCGCCGCCCGAGGCTGCGGTCTGCCTTACCAACGTCCCCTGGCTTGAAAGGGTTTGCAAACACAGCGTGTCACCGCGGTGGCCCTGACCCAGCCCTCCGCACTTCAATTTAGTGCCTTCCTTCGGATTTAATCTCTAAGCAATTTGCAAGAACAGGGATGTAATTAACCATACGCT